TAAAAAATAAACAAACAAGTTAACTATAGTTTTTGAGTATATTGTCGGATGTGCTAACTTTTCGTCATTCTATTTAGAGCTAAATATCTAACTGATATACTTTGAACCTAATATACAAAAAAAAAAAAAAATTACTTCACATTTCTAAGTTAATGAATTTATCATTTCGGAGTAAAAAAAACCAACGTTAACACCTGTCTTAATTAGTGGTAAATGATAATTAAAAAATATAAACCAAAGTATGAACATTCTCGGCGTTGCAGCTTGAGCAATTTAGTCTCATTAGTGGAACCGTAATAAATACGAGATCGTTTGATTTACAGAGACCATGGACACTGGTCTTATCACGCGAATATCGGGACGGCTTATAATAATTTGTTAAAGCTATAAAATATAAGACCACACCTCGCAATTAGATCGCGATTGCGTGATACGAGTGTTATTAAAGACACTGGAGATTTGTACTGTATAAGGAATACTAGATATACCTATAATACAAGATACATATTATATATATGCCCTTTTATACATTACTTTATAAATAATAAAAATATAAAACAATGCTCAGATAACACTATATTATAAGTTATAACCTAAATGACATCATACAAGTGAATACATTTATTTATGGAACATAATTAGTATGTAATATGTTATTTAAAACATCGAATACCGATAGAACAAATCAAATAGCTCGGTATTATTTAACAATCGTATGCGCTAGAGATTTGCAAGTTGCAGCGCAGGCGCAGCGCACTCTAAGTAGGCCGTACGAACGTCGACCCCACGTCCGACTTCAGGGTTACCTTTCCTTGTCGCTAACCATGCCAGCAAAATATTACGTAACCATTCATATAATATTTTGGCTGGTTACAAAGCTGGTTTATCCGAATTAATAACCTTATCGAAGATATAATCCGACGGGTTCAATGACCGCTCTATTTCTATTCTAGTAACCAGTCGCTGCATGTTTTACTGTTTTGAGGAAAAACTTGTATTTTTAGTGTTAAAAACCTCTGTTTAGAGATAGTGACTTGTTTGTTTGATAATCAATTATGAAATACAATCATTACGTTCGTTTGTAATGAATTGGAAATAGAAAATTTATATGACTTTATAACTTTTTTATTGCTATTTATACATACCTAGATTTTAAGAATTACGTATTAAAATAAAATATTAATAAATAATACATACAATAGTCACTCAAATTAATTTATAGCAATATAATAGTTGGAAGCCCTTTTAAACGGTGGGCGGTTAAAGTCACGCACGGTCTAATAAATTAATAAATCAGATCTTTAAGGATCAATGAGATACAGATATAAATAGATTTGATTATTATTATTAGTATTGTAGGAAAAATTCTATACACCTTTTCCAGGCTGAATATCCAATTAACAGTACAAATACTATTATATATTAAGTCGACGTGGAAGTGTGTGGACTGTCTACGTATGGTATTACCGTGTGTTCATCATTCAGTATGATAATAGATTTAAGCCTACAATTACAATTAAATTAATATTTAGACAATATTTTTTAATTGTACGTAAAATTCATGTTAAATTTAATAAATTATCCATCATAATGATATCACTCTATTAAATATATTAATTTGATTATAACCGGTCCCATGATATTTAAGATTATAAAACCAAAAAAATCTCATCTATATATATAAATTAATTGACAGCTCTAGCTATATTTTTATATCGCAGTAAAAATAGACAATAATTATTAGATATTTTAAATCCAAACTTATTTGACCTCTATAATATTATGATCTAAGATTTATTATCAGTGACATTTATCTTACAACTTAAAAATAATAAAACAATTCTCATGTCATTATATTAATACGATTGACGGGATTATCGAGTCGTACAACATTTATTTGAATACAGAATCAATATATTTGACTTAACTATTTAAGATATGCAAAACAAGGTGCTCTTATCACGATCGTATTCAATGCAGTCTGATGCTTACAAAAACCTGCTCCGAGTCAATACCATGTACGGATGTAATGTTTTGCAACTGGATACTTGCAATAAGTCCGCAAAAAGTTGCTCGGATCGGAGACACACGAAATGGAAGCTGTAGCAGTTTCCAAGTTAACCATATATAGAGCTAATCGCTGTTTAAGGTGTCGAAAACTTAGTATAACTAGAAGAAAACGCGCAGTATTGCACCATCGGCACACGTCTGGTTATTAAGGGTTAGAAAATATCACATCAGTTAATTACGTGTAAGTCGTTATGAAACGATCAATATCTGGACTATCGTGGAGACTCATACAAACATGATACAAGTTTTTCTGACACAAGAAAGTTGCATTACAAGACCTAACAGGCATCCAACCCTATTGTATCTATTAAACGGCTACTTTCTTATTTCTTTCCATTTACGGTTCGTTGAGAAAATCGAGACGCACTTGTAATAGGTATTTGTTGCTACGTAAAACGTACGATATCGTAATATTCAGCTTATGAAACGATAGTAATACATATTTTTTGTATCGAATATACGAAGCAATACGCCAAAAATGCTGTAAAATCTGTTAGGATTAAAAAAGCAATTTGAAATAATTCTCGCTAAAAGGATGATAGAATGAATCCAATTTCCAATATGTAATACCGAAACTATTATTGTGGCCAAAGAAGAAGATTTAAAAGAAACAACTCTAATTCGCATGGGAAGCCTTGAGCAAAATATCAAGTGACCCGCTCGAGCTCCGGATTTTGTTACATGGACGACCGCTTACCGCATCTCTCTGTGCTTATTCGATTATTGTTTTGAACGTTATATATCAAAAATGTTGAATATAACTAAAATAAAATGCTTATTAAAATAACAAGAAAACGTCAAAAACAGTCACAGCTGGGACATAAAATCATTTATCTAAAACTATAGTACTGGTTCAATAAGAATGGATTAGATTTTATACACTAAATCTAATCAGAGGATAATTATTAATTACGGTTATGCAGACTGGATAGAATGAATGAAGTTATTTATTATATCTAAAGCGATCAAAATATTTTTTGCCCCACTGAGGTTTGGACCCGAGGGATATGTGACCACACCTCTGTTCAAGTAGACATATAATAATATATAGACAATTTAATGCCAATAAACATATCAGAGTATAACATCAATCGTGTGTATAATCCTGCTATGTGAAAATCGCTTGAACGATGAATTCATAAGCCGTGTTTGGCATGTGGTGTACAGAGAACCGGTCCGATCAATATGCTGGTAGACGACGGACACCATAAATAGAAGAAATGGTCGCGGTTTTAACGACGTGCTGCGGAAAAACGTGCTTCGTTTGTTATCAATCACTATGTAATGTATTTCACCTACTTCAAGTTGCATTCAATAGAGCTGAGAACACTGACGGTGATGGGGTCTCATTAATACGATCCATGTTTTAATTACAGTACCATATTATACTCATATTAATGAATGATACTTAATAAATACGTCCTTACATATCAGAGATGTAATAATGTCCTTGTTTAACTGTCTGAAATGTATGAACATTTCAATATTTTAGTGAACTTCTTGGAAAAAACTGTCTAAGACTTTTAAAATGGAAAAATGTAATATTTTCATGGATATATGGGAACATAAAATTATGAGGTTTCCCCCGGCAAGCCACAAACGAGCCGCTGTCACGCAACACGGAGCGAAACGAGAATACAAGACAATACACGTTCGTGTTTATGACAACGTAAAAATAATAAAACTATTCAAAATCATATCTTTTCAGGTTTAACAAATCAAAAATGAATAATTTTACAAATAATTTCGAGCATTGCTATGTTTAAATTAACATTTCTTTCACCGTGTCGAATGGGAGTTGTAACAAAAGCTGAAAACAATAACTTAATCGTCGCGGCTGTAATAATATGAACATTACTTGCGAACACTGGCCGGCAATAAATATCAAACAACGGGTAAAAATAGAAACAGGCACGGCGGGCGGGGGAATGACCGACGGTTGTCATACAAGACTCAAGGCCTGGCGAGATTAGATATAACTGCCGGCGCATACAAACAAATGTACCCACAGACATTTTAACTTGCATTACAATGTACTAAATGATATTTTATTAACATCTAACTAACACGCCATAATTCAATATCAACATTTACATTGAGCGGCTTAAATGCTAATGTAATACGAGTTACGTTTTAGCTACGTGCTTTAAAATAAACATTCGCACCACCGAAAGTCGGGAAGGTAGTCGTAAAACACCTAGGAGAGAGATTAAATTACAACTGGGTTATATTTATTTGTAGAAAAGGTCTCTAAATATAGCGAGCGCGTTCGTGACAACATTTTATCCAAAAAAAGTTGTTCCAAGTGTTCCAAAACTTATATTTTAAAACGCGACGAAGTTATCGTTGAAAATACTCTTAATTTAATAAATGACACGTTATATTTAATTTATATGAATTCTAATAAAATCTCACATGTACATTCTAGACCGTTGTGAATGAAAACAAACACTTCAATTTAAATAAATTGCAGCGGATAGAATCTGGTAAAGAAATATGAATGTAAGTGGTTAAAGTGGACGTGATGACGAGCCTAATGAGTTAAGAGATAAACCACTGTAGAGCTTGTTATAATGTTATTGAAACTATGCAAATGTGAACTACGCGGGTTAAGAAAAATAAACTCGACTCGTATAACGAGATTTAAAAAAGAAATTTTAACAACTTCAACTATGGAACTCTATTTCCAGATAGGTTCATAGTAAGACAAAATAATTTCTTCTTCTTCTTCTTAAGACAAAATAAAAGTATCAAAAAAATAAAGTGTTAAGAAGTTTTTCTCGTCTGCCAATCTCAATCAATTTCCACTTGAAACTTATTGACACAAATGGATGTCATTATTTAGTTACGACCGGTTACTTATTTGTAGTAATTCACATACAAAAACTAAAAATTGTTCTTCCTGAAATGAGTTTAAATTTAAAACTTACCTTGATCTGATACGAGTTGACTTTGTATTTGGGGAGTAAGTTGAAAGTGGAAAAGTCTAGTCGTCTTGAAAATATGCCATTCGCGCCAGCACCCGCCCTGTAGACAAACAAACACATGAATTAGATAATGTAAAACAAAGTAATTTTTGACGTATTATATACCTACTCATAAAATATTTTAAGTGCATAATTGTAAATTTAACGTCGTAAAAATAATTTCACAGGTTAATCAAAATTTCTTTCAAATGTAAATGGATTCTTGATGAAAAACTTCCAACGAGTGAATATTTAAATTGACTCCATAATTTTGGATAATTGCATGAAACCATTAATTCAATGGGCTTCGTAACATTTTTAATCAAATAAATCAATTAACCTTTCCTTGGATTAAAAATGTTGAGACATATGTAGGTATATATTTTTTGGTTGCAAAAAAATAAAGATGAAACGAAATAAAGAAAAATATACAACAGAGATATATAAGGGATAATAATGAAATATCAGTTCTTATTTAACAAACCAATAACAAGTAATAATAAACAAATTGACAAATAAAGTCGTATTACGCTTACAAAACCAAAAAAATAATACAGAGAAATTGTTATGTCAAGAATTACATTAAATTTAATGTACAGATAAATAATATACATTACTCATGCTTTCATACTTACCGCGAACAAAAATAATGTAAATTGAGACAGTCTTATTAATAGCGCAATTCATTGCAACCCACAGTTTTATCTTTGTCGTTGTACTAAAACACATATCTCGGGAAGCAATCAATTACACTTAAAACTTGTTTTTTATTATATTAATTTAGTTTAAAACATAATCTCAATATGGTAAAACAAAACTAAATCTATATTCACATATTAAACAATAAGAATATACCTGCGAAATTTATTACATTCGATTACATAATCGATGCAACAAAAACTAACCTAATATGCAATGCATATCTTTGATAATATTCTGGGAACGTAGATGGCGCCGCAAGAAACAAAATAAAACGTCAAGGTTGTGCGAAAAAACTTGTTTTTTCATTGTCAAGGTCGGAGAATTAGATACCGGCTTCATATCTCGATGGGGCGTGTCACAGTCGACGTTGTTTACATTTACGTTCAGAATAACAAATGGCTATTATAACGAGTAATTGTTAATATGTACAAAATATTTAACGCATTTAAAAGAAGTCGTATTAAAAATGGTTTTTAGTGTAATGTATTACACGGCAGATGTTTATTTGACATTTTAAAGCATTCCTACTTGATTCGCAATGTTCGAATGTAAATTTACGGGATCGGAATTTATTACGATGAACCAAAATATATTTCATTCCTTGAGACAGTGACTTATAAGTTTTAAACTCTCAGTAAGAGGCATTGATTAAATTGTAAGACACTTCGTAGACATGTTTTAGCTTCAAATGAATTATGTTTTTTGTAAACATAATCATTGTAAAGTTTTCCACGGAACCCTAATTACAAAATGCGTTTGAGGCGTCGACATGCGCGTACACTGTCTGGCGGAAGCATGCTCGACTTAATATGGGTAACCTTGGAAATACAATGACTTAGTCGATGTACAAAAAAACATCCAAATAACTAGGTAAGCATAACATGATAGTTACAGAACTTACAATGTTGGCATTTAAGATAAGATCGTTGTGAGGTGTAAGGTCGGCTATGTATTCTAGTCTATGTACCTAACAAGATAAATATGACGATTATATTTAATTAATGGCTCCCAAAATGTCAAACCGTTGAACTAAAATGTCAAACGAGTTTAGATTTTCAAAAAATATCTATGTCTTTATACGTAAAGAATAAGAAAAATACCATATAATATTGTTTACTCGATCTATTTTCAAATGCAGCGTAATAAAAGATCTTGTTTACGAGTAACAAACTTTTTTAAATCAATACAATATAGTGAATGCAACATGGCGTCAGTGGCCTTGGATGATGAATAAAAATAACATTGTTTGTCGAACTGTTGGCGCGAATTTGTATCCATGCGTTATGTTATGTTCTTTTACGCATAAATATTTAAAAATATATGTACTTATCAAATGTAACAGAGTGAATTGTTGTTAGTTGTATGTATTTAAATGAAATGCAAACGGGATATTAAGATATTTACAACTGAATCTCAACGTTACCCTGACAGCTGTCGGGGAAACGCTAAAAGCATTGCAAAAGATTCATTACATGCTATAATAATGTTTGTGTTTAACAAACAATGCCTGAGGTCGTCCGGTCTGTAGTTGTTTTAAACGACAGGCCAAAAATTATAAAATATCCATTTTAAATTTGAAATAAAATAAAATAAACGACTTTTTTATATAACTGATTAAATTTATAGTGACCTTTTCCATATAATGTCTACTACTACAATTAATTTTTCATTTTGTACAACTGAACTTTGACCACATTAAGGACTTAATGGTAGTATTTTCGTCAAAACAATAAGCTTTTTTATTACATAAGTACTATAATAACATGAATCATAAATTTAACATTTAAAAACTATTTGCAATTAAATATGCTTGGGAATTGAGCACAAACTTGATATTACTTCACCAAGTCTAATTAATTAAAATAGCTATATTTAGCAGATCTATATCTTTTTGAATATTAAAATTTAAACTAATAAATATAGAGGGTACACGTTATAATGATACGTAGTTATAATATATGCAATATTAATTTCATACAGGCATAAACATTAAAGTATCTATGAAATATAAAAATATGTATAGTATACATGAACAGAAGCGGTCTGTTAAGTTTAGTGCGATAAGCCGTCTATTGTGATTTGAAAGTAGACACTTAGTGGGAGCTGAGAACCGGTATCCGACTTTCTCATTCAGCCCACGACTGGCTCCGTCGGATCGGGATCCAGTTTCATAGCGATTCTAAAACATTCAATATTGACTGACCCTGACATTGTTCTTTATCGTCAGTGCGTTCGTGATTGTTCTTACTTTATGATCTATGCGATGTTATTTTTGAAATGAAATACAATATTTAGTTAAGTAAGGTGGCCTTAATACCACTACTATTTTTTTTAGTAATATTAAAATGGGGGAGCAAGAGTTCAAAATATTTATCTACCATGACGCCGTTAATATGGATGAGAAATACTCGTTACTTATAAATAATTAGCATTTCAATGCATCTTCATCGGTACAGACTTCGAAATTACACTGCAAATCAACCGACAGCGCCATCTATCATTTAAATACTTCATACAAAATACAACTCCTACGTTCTGTACCCTCGGGAGCGACACTATTTCGGGACAATTTATACATATATGTCATTATGATACATGAACTATATTATACTAGGTTTATTTATAACTAAGTATTCAGTATTTATGTATGAAAACGAAACAAACATACATCCATTCATATAACCTTTAGCGTTCGCAATGTTTGTAGGATGGGTTTGATAGGTGCTATCAATAAAAGGTACAGTCTCCATCGACGTGTCATTATATAATTACATTGAATTATCTCCTGCACTTTATGACTACAACTGTGCCAAAGGAAAGCCAGCTTTAAACACTGTAATTATTGTTCAAGAACGAGTTTTTAAATGCGTAGGAGTTAGCTTTGTCGATCGTTAAAAATTACATCATTGCGATGTTTACGGATCGTCGTATCACGCATAAATCTGCTAAACAAGACATTATTAACCGAGGAATAACAACAAAAAAAATATTAAAGCAAAAAATAATAATCTCACAAGTATTATTGATACAATTGGCTGATTAAAGTTTAAAAACCATTTATTTTAATTAAAACAATATCACATAAATAAAATTGGTATTATAATAGCTCAGAAAATAACAATTCAGTTTTTTTTTATTTCTTTTGCTGTAGCGTGAAACGGTTAACGCATTTTTTTTTATCAGCGTTGTTGTAAACAACAAAGACCTTGGCCTTGGTAACACAATGGGCCCCACCAAATTTGATTATCTAACTCACGACACGATTGCGCCGCTTGCCATTTTTAAAATGACGCATAAGTTTATTATTTGTTTAGGTGTTTATACAATATGTATGGAGGAATACCACTTGTCCGTTTTATTAATGTGGTAGTATTATCATATTTCAACATTCACTATATAATAGGGTTTAAACTGGATTAATGGTCCGTTCTATTTTGGCGTAATTATGAACTTTCATAGGTAAAATGTTTATTAAATTCTACTCATCTCTGTGGATATTCTAAAATCTCCAAACCTTCATTAAGATTCTACAGTGTCCCGCATCATGAACAAAGAAGCCGATTCCTCTATCGGATTATTCAAGGCAAAATTTTCCCTCATTAAAGATTCAAGTCCGAATGTTTCTTTGAAATTTGATATGAGTGTTGGGGACAAAGAACCCGATTATAAAATATCACAATAACTAAGGTTTCATGTTAAGCCCGATGTGATGCATGTAGATTTTAGTTACCAGAGACTGGATTGTGTAAGAGCCCAAACAAACGGGTAATAAAAATAATAAGTCAATTAGTGAATAGCGCGGGGGCGTGGTGCTCGAACCCGACTCATTGTATATATATTTATGTAGCGCAATCAAGCTTAACTGAATGGCCTATTATTTTTGGAAAGTACACATATGTTTGAATTTATATTTCATTTGTTAGTGTTTTACTAATATTTTATCTGCTTACCTTTAATATTGGAACTAAAATTGATTAACAATAGTTTTTTCGATACATATGGTTATTTATTATTCTATTTATATGTTGTATAGTCCAGATACAACTATGTTTTATTTGTCCGATTAAAATCTGGTCCAGATTGAAATATCAATCAATCATATAACTGCCATTTAGGTAATTGATAGCAACGATTAAATTTTAAAATAGAACTAATAATTTTTAGCAAATACATTCTATATCGTTATTTCATGTAAATATATTCTCTCGTAAATAATATGATTTATAACTTCAAGTTGGAAAACATTTTAATTACAAATTCTTTAATTATATCTGCTCATACCTGTATCAATAAAACCTCGATTTCTTTGGATAAGTTGAGTAAGACAGTGTTTGACAGCCGGTTTTAAAGAAAATAATT